TAAAAGAAAAGAATTAGGTTTTCCTTTTGCTTTTATAAGTATAAAGTCATGCTATATGTTATCTGTAAAGTCATATTTATTCTGAAAAGTATGTTTCAAGATCAATATTCAGTAGGTATATTCTAGTTGCTTGGTCTTGTCCAGTAAGTATTTTAAGTCATTCTATACGGGTTTAAATGTTGAACTCATGTAAATCCACACCCTTCAGGTCCTCTCTTGGCTTTCTTTTTCATTGGCTCATAAATAGTAGCAACATATCAGTCAACAGAAAGATGGTCCACCTCTACACTTTTAAATGGAAGTAGAGGAATTCTGAAGGCTCAATTTTCTTTTTTATTTGTAGCTGTATTTTTTTTAACTGATAATAATTCACTATTTCAAAAGTCTTAGAGTCATTTGCCTAACTTTTTTAGGGCTTTATTGCCTTGTTTATTGTATCCTGGAAAAAAGAATCAGAGTCAGAGTTATTGGTTACACACAGTCTGAATTGACAGGAAGACTTGTCTTTTTGAAAAAGAAAAGTATTTTTCTTCTCAAGAACAATGATGAGAGAAATCTATTTCATCCATCTTTGTGTCTGGGTCGTCCTGACTTTTCTCTTCACCGTAGATCTGACCACCGAACTCTCAGGATTATCAGCAGTATTCTCTGTGCCTGTAGGTTCCTTAATATTCTTCTTCAAAGCAGATTGCTCAGTAGAAGGTTTCTGGGGACTGACACCTCCCACTCCAGACCCAGTGCTGTAATGAGCAGTCCCAAGCAGTGATCTTTTCTCACGTGTTAAAGTACACTCACGAGGAAATACATTGGAAGACGGTATTTCCATTTTTGGTGAAGAGGTTAATAAGGATTTATAACCAGGCATATTTTCCTCTGATGTTTCAGATACTAACTGCACATTCAGATTTTCTCCTGAAGAAATACTGGAAAGGCTCCAAGGGAAGTCAAACTGAGATACACTCTTGTGTGTGATCTTTGGTGTAGAGGCCTTTCTTTGACATTGTCTTTTTACCTGGCTAGGCTTGTCTTCAGGAGAGTTTAAGTCATCATGAAACTCAAACCATTTTTCAGCATCAGCTGTAGAATTCAAAGAGAAACTTACAGATGATTTCTGGTTGCCTTTGCCTGCTACAGATTTCCTATTATCCTCATCAGTTTTCTCAGAGGAACTCTCTGGCACCTCAAAAATCTCATCCAAAAGTAGAGTTGAACTTTGTTTGGGTTTTATTTTTTCTGGTTTCATCAAATGAGCATAGGATTGTGTCAGCATATCGCTAGGTATATACATCTGAGTTCTTTGTGACTGTTCCCTGACAGAAAAACCTGAAACATTTTGAGAAAGAGGAATGATATCAACATCCTCGTCACTATCAGTAAGAGAAATACAGTATGGCTTTTCCTGTGATTTTAGTTTTGCCAAAAGGCTTTTATTTTCCTCTCTTAATTTATTCCTTTCTGCAGTCAGTTCAGAAATAAACTTAAGATTTTGCTGTTGGATATCATGGAATTCTTCCTGTAACTTCTGCCAATGTGTCTCATTAACCGAACAGCGTTCACAAGTTTTGGAACGTAACTGTTCTTTCAGGTTGTTAATGGTCTCATTGAGGGCTTTCTGTTGTTTAGTCAACTCTTTAATTTTGGCTATTAAGCCATTTCTTCTACCGTCTGCCAATCGCTCCTTCCTCATACTAGTTAACTTCGCCTGTAGGTGGTGTACCTCTTTATCATGGAGCTCTTTGAGTGTTAGCCAGGTTTTTTTAAAGTCATTAGATGACAAATCACACACACTAACCTTCCTCTGATCTTTTACTGGAGATTTCTTACCACCTTCCTTGTTTCCCCCACCCGTACTCCCTGCCTGCATCATGGCTCGCCAAGGTTGAGACGGCTCTGTGGCTCGACGGTGCCGCCAAAAAAAATGGCGGAGCTGCAGCCAACTAGAGCAAGGCCGCAGCAGGGATGATCGCGTACACGCTTTTTACAGACCTTTTGCGAAGCTGTTCGGCACTGGGTGGGGGGGGTGGCTTTGGAAGTTCAGGAATAGACTGAAAGTCCCAGGTTTTTGGTTGGAAGGAGGGGCTGGCTTTTTGGCGGGAAGAACCGGCTCAATCGGGCGGGGCCGCGCCTTCAGGCAATGGCGCGGCAAGTGGCCCTTTGAAGAAAGGACGGAAACCCAGTGTCTTCTGGGAGAACTTTCTGGTCTTAGGAGAAAGGCATCTAAAGGCAGAAGGGGAGACCAGAAGTCGCCTCCAGCTTAACTTTAAAAAAATAAAATAAAATCTGTGATTTTATTGTAACATTTTCTAGTCTGGATTAATATTTTGTAATCCTCAAACCCTATGAACATTCATTGTCCTTTAAAACCATCAAAAGTAACGAAGTAAAAGCTCGGCCCTCCCCCCCTCCCCCCCCCG